AAAATAATTTACAACCTGACACTAACTACAATTTATTAATTCACTCTTGCAATCCTGATACTGAACCCACTAATTGTGATTGTCCGGCTATAGACAGATTGGATAAAACAAAATACCTGGGGGTTGTGATAGACCAGCGGCTCTCTTGGCATTCACACATTGAGCTAGTCTCTACCAGATTAAGAAAACTGATCTGGATATTCAAGACCTTGAGACATGTAGTGCCTGGGGGGTGGGGGGTTGATCATAGCCCCAGAAGGAATATTTTCAAAGACATCTACACCTCACTTGCGCAATCAATCCTAACTTATTGCATTTCCATTTGGGGAGGAGCGGTTAAAACAAAAATGATTGAGGTGGAACGTGCGCAACGTGCTTTACTGAAAGTGATGCTCTTTAAACGTAGAAGATTTCCAACGCACACTCTATACGCTGTTTGTAAAGTCTTATCTGTAAGAAAGCTGTACATTCTCAGCGTTATATTAAAAAGACATAAAACTACACCTTATGTCTCAAACAATTTTACAGCTAGAAGAAAAAAAAATGTTATTCCACTTACAAAAACTAGAACCGCCTTTGCTAAAAATCAACTCAACAGTCGTTCGGCCTATCTATATAATAAAGTAAATAAAATCGTAGACATATATAATAAAACACTACACGAATGCAAAAAAATAGTTACCAACTATTTAAAACCTCTAGATTACGAGGAAACAGAAATTATTCTTAGACACACGGCATAACTTAACACATACACACACACACACACACACACACACACACACACACACACACACACACACACACACACACACACACACACACACACACACACACATACACACACACACACAATTCTTATTTTTCATATTTTTATGTACCCCTAATACTGTTATAGATAATAAATTTTATGTTAACTAGTAGCTATGGAAGAGCGAAGGCACCTAATACAGGCAAGATTTTTGCTTAAAAGGTGTCTTCAATCACTATCTGTAAATGTAGACAACATGTTATCGAAATAAAATAAATTATTATTAAATTATTATTATTATAAAGCCTTAGCTGAGTCAATTATATCATACGGAATCTCAAGTTATGGGCGAAACTTTAAGTCATATACTGAAAAAATATATAAACTACAGCTAAGATTACTTAAACTTATTGTACCCCAAAAAATAATACAACAATATAAAGAAAACGTATTAGACATTTTTAATTACTGTAATATTTTACCTATGCAGATAAAACTTCACATGACCCTATTAATTGAACAATTCAATAATAAAAGCATCCAAGTACCCGTATCTTATACAGTAATTACAAGAAATATTACCAAACAAAAATTAATTGTGCCTAGGATCTCAAATTACTATGGTAGGCGAACTATTGAATTTTTAATCCCTTATAAACAACATCCCGCAAAACATTCAAAAAGATTTAAACACAAAAAACTATAAACAAAAACTCAAAAAATATTATTACGATAGTATAAAGAACTTCGTCTTATAAAATAAATCAGAATTATAGTTATAATTTAGTTTGTATAATAGTGAAACAGCTTGTATAAAGTTAAGTAGTTTGCGCTGCCTAATAGAACCGGTTCGTCGAATAGTCCCAGGTGAGAATTGCAAATGGGTGCTTACCACTTACACACAGTAAAGAAGCCGTATTTATATGTATATACATTTTTTTTAACTTTTAGTAAATATATTAAATATTTATGTAAAGCAGTGCGTTTTAGTTGCGAATGTGAGTACCAATACAAACCATTATTGGTTTAATGGTAAAAATCAAGCAAATATGTAAGAATACTTTTGATAAATAAATAAATTAAAAAAAGTGAGCGTCTACATTGCGAAATGAGTGACGGTACTAAATGTCAAATCAATGGGGTGTATAGTTGAAGAGATCTCGTGATGAGTCAGTCAGTTCCCACGTTTACTGAACACATACGAGAAACAAGCGTGGCAGCCTTAAGTCAGTAGTAAATGGATTCCTCGGCAGTAAAAGAGTTGAAAATTACAAATAATATACATATTTTTGATATGGTCGATACCTTTAAAATCATGGGTTGCAGAATGTTCCTGAAAATGCATATGTTATATGCTCACTTAGATCAATTCAAAGACAACTTGGAAGCATTTTCAGAGGAGCAAGGGGGAGCGCTTCCATCAAGATGTGATGGATTTCGAGCAACGATAACAAGGACAATGCAATGAAAATATGATGGGAGGATTACATTGGGGGTTGATTCGGGAAAGTTCATCTGAACACAAAAGAAATACTAAAAAAATACATTTTTAAAAGTTAACTACCATTTTTTAATTTGTTTCAACTATCTTTAATGAATAAAGGTGATGAAAATAAATAAATCAATGATTGTTTTCTTTTTGTATATAACTGAAAGAAAAAAGCTAGCAATTTTCTTCAAAATTTGAAATTTCGTTTTGGTAGCTACAAAAGCAAACTTTATTGGATAAAAATAGTATTTCTTTTATTAATTAGGTACAAGAAATAAAAATCGGGTACACAGAGCTCAGGCACCAAATTCGTGTTCACTTGTGTTATTGTTACAAGCTACAAAATTTAAAAAAAAAAGCATAAGAATTATTTTCGCGGCTCCCGCCAACCCGCCACTTTCATTTTCAATTTTTAATGCTGATCGTTGTTGTGTGCTGTCGTTAACTTTGAACGATAGTGTTAAATTAAAAATTATAAAAAGTTTTAGCTTTACAAATAAAATGGAGATCGGTGATATTAAAAAAAGTTGCGAATAGAAAAAGACTGAATACAGAGGTTGAAAAACTAAGAGAAAAAGTTGCGCGGGAGACCTCTAAAATTATTAAGTTAAAGGTAACGCCTGATATTTTATGAAACATATGAAGTAATTATTTCCACGTTTTTGATTTTCACCTTAAAGCTTCATTTTGTTCTAATTGAATCAGCTTTGTCTATTAATCACTATATTTGTGATGGCTTTTTTTTAATTTACCCTATTTAATAATACCACTGTCTCGCTCTGTGTTTTTTGGTTATTATGTTATGTAATATGAAAACTGTATTTAACATTTTAGGATTTATGACCACAAGAAATTATTTATAGAATAGTGATGTTATGCTTTATATTTTATTAACGCCTTTATGCTATGTAAAACACGGTTGTTTTGTGTTATTAGTATGAGAAATATAGTTATGATACAATATATGGAATTGTGATAGTGAAAATTATCGGTACATGGGTGGGTTTTTTGCGCTTGGCTCATGGAGTACCTTAGTATGTTGCGCAATTTTTAATTCGTTCGGGACAGTTCGGGATAAGCTACAGTTTTCAGTTATAAAACAAGAAAGAAAAGGAAAATAGGAAAAGTATAGTAGGCAGTAGGACTGCATTAATAAGTCTCATCTCTTAAACAGAGGCTGACAGCTTAGTAGGATTTCAAGAGTCAACCATAAGAGTTAACCAGACGCACATCACACATCGTTTCATATGATCACATTTTCATATTTCCGAAACAGAACAGTACATTCGGATACAGAATTAGGGCTACATACATACATCTAGACCATAAGAACCACAATAGGGTTGTTGTTGGACATACATACTGACCATTGATCACGTTTACCAATTATGTGGGGTCAGAGCTTGATTTAAGGGAGGGAAACTTGAGTTAAAGTTCCGAGGTCACCAAAAAGAGGAGGTTCCCTATTATAAGTTCCTTTGTTGCTAAAGTTCACTTATAACGATACGCAAAATAAGAAACAATGACTGAATTGTTGCTAACGCCAGGTTTTTATATTTAAAACTGTTTCGTTTTCTTTTAAAAGCCGGTTTGCAGTAAATGAATTGCATGGAAACACCTTTTTTTAACATAATACCAGTACTCCTATTTATGAACCGTTTAGTTTTTTCATTTTAAGTTATCCTAAGTTGCTGAATGAATAGTTTATATTATAAACTCTTTTAACATGCATCTCTCTATGTAATAAAACTGGATCGACAGGGAGAACGAAAAGTTTCTTGAATATGGGATTCGGACATAAATATGTTATGACTTCAATTATCACTTAACTGTTCTAGTATATACTTTTTGAACAAATCATAAAACAAAATCGGTTCACTAACCTCAAGGGTATCCTATAAGATACATTAAAAAGAAAATGCAGCGGACGTGACGTTGACGTGAAATTGGTATAATAAAGACATTGCAAAATATGCGCATAAGCAAGTATTACGTTGTCTATTCAATCAAATTGTCCAGAGCATAACTAATGTCTTCCAGACCAAATTTTGGTCACGGCGGTCAGTCTCGGAGGCTAAGCCATCTGCGCGGAACAGAATCATAGTGCACGGGTATTATGCGCAAGCACTGGTGCACTCTCTATTCCCTCAACCTCATATTCTAATTCTGAGTAAGTTATGGAGCATTATTATAGTCCACCACGCTGCTCCAGTGCGTATTGGCGAACTTCACAAGTCCTTGCCATATTTTATTTACAGACATGCTAGAGCCTGTTAAAGAGTACTTTAAATTGCAATTCACAGTTTTATTGGTGCCTGTAGGAAATAAATCTGGTGCCTGAGCCTCCACAGCTTATTCTGCCGGAAAACAATGTTAATAACACACTTATGCATATTTTTGCCAAATGTTGGTATATATTAGTTGTTTGTAGTGCATTATATTAGCCGCTACCCGCTCCTTCGCTGGGCGCAAGATAATAGACGATAATAACGTAATAATGTAGGTACATATAAAAAATCAAGAAATTTCTTTTTTATGGGACTATCATAAAATCTGTTCTTAGTGAGCTTCTACATTGCGAAATGAGTGACTATACTAAATTTTAAATCAATCGGGTGTATAGTTTTCGAGATATCGAGATGAGTCATTGGTCAGCGGTCAGTGGTACGATAATATGGGTTTGGGCCAAAGTTCGACCATAAATCTAAGTTATGATAGCGCTGTGACAATAACCATTCTAATGTAATTAAAACATATTAGGTTGCTCAAGACACAGCGTACTGGGACTTAAAAGAGAAGCTGCAGCAGGTTGAGAACAACCATGAGCGTTTGCAGCAGAACATGGTGGAAGTGCAAATGCAGCACGAAGCCATCTCCGGACAGTATCAGGATGAATTGAGGCTGCGACCGGAGACGCTCAATAAGTATTTTTTATCTTTTATCTGAATAGAAATTTAATAAATTTTCTTGAAAATATCTGCTAAATTATTTTAATCGACTGCGCGTACGAAAGGAGGGTTATCTTTGGCAGGTATTTGTATTGTATGTTCCTATGTATATCTAAATACTTAACGTGTTGTGATTTCTCATTTCGTTTCCGAAGATGGCGTCATATTTGCTCGACGTCTGCAACTGGTTATTTTTTGCCATTAGATATGGTGATTAGTGTAAAGTCTCCAGGGAGAAAGTACATGCAATGATCCAATAGGTCAGCCCAGCAGACCGTATTCCACATACAAGAGCAGTGTAAAATTGGACCATTCTTCTGTTGTGTCTGTGCTTCATAAAGTAACAAGAACCGGTGATTATTTTCCTGGTTCACTATCATTACATACATTTTAGTTTTTATCATCATTGATTGAATGAACTAATGAAATATACTTTATTGGACACCAATAAATAAAAGAAAAAAATACTAATTATTAAAGGCACAAAGTCCACCTGAGCATGCCAAAGGTATACGTGAGGACAAAAGGTTCACTTTGGTCAATCGCCTCATTGAATTTTCTGTGACATACGGTATCGGTATTTTCACCCTCATTTCTTCCTTATGTTGATGGGTATAGATAACACCATGGTCTAAGACTTAGCAACCCTGCCCCCCTCGTCGGCCTTACCGCTTACCAGGCCACCACATAGCGAAGGATATAATAACCTGTGAGCAAGGGTAAGGCTATACGCAAGTTAACATCAGCTGCCTGTGGCAGTCTACGAATGAACTGGGCGTAGGCTCTTCGCCTTCCTGTACACACCTACTACCAAAACCATTTGTGTCTAAATCAAATCTTTAGGTATAAATCAGGATTATTATTGTTCAACTTTGCTCGGGTGACTTCAGTTCTCGACAACAGTGCCACCTACCGAGTCCAATTGAGTTTTTAAACCATCCACGGATCCTCTCAAATACACACAAAAAAATCATAGAAATCGGTCGTGTCGTTTTCGATTTTTATATATAGAATGAGTTTTTTTTTAATTCTTTATTAATGAGCTTATTCACAATATGAATATGTCGCTCCATTAATTACAAACATATAAACAAAAAAAAAAACAATTACATTAGGTATACTTAAACTTATTACGTTATGAAGTTCTCAAATCAATAATTAATTACAGAAAGTTGAAGAAGATATGCATTTAGTTACAAAAAGTAAAATGAAAAGTTCCCAGATCAATCACGTTGAGAAGTTTGAACTTTTTGAAGAACTTCACCTTGTAAAGCTTGACTAATATTTTTATATCGTCAGAATGTGGCTTAGCTAAAATTATATTACAATCAGCGAAATCTTTTAAAATGTGGTGGCATTTATTATTACGAAAGGCAGCGTTGTGGGCACAATCCATCAAGACATGCATTAGGTCCTCTGGAACACTGCATTGATCACAATTCGGTGACTGGACCTTTTTCATAAGGAATGCAAACTTTCTAAGATGGAATGTGTCCAGTACGCAGTCTCATTAACACTACTGCATCTTGTCGCGATAGCTTATGGTTATCAATCCACGGTATTTTAGGCGGATGTGACTGTACCGTCTTGTACCAAATACCCTTTTTTTTTGAACGTAAATCGAAATATTTTTTCCATAGGTTGTAACATAGCCTTTTTATAATACAAATACAATCAGTGTAATGGATATAGAATGAGTTAATAGGTATGAAGTGAATATTGACAGTCATTTAAAACAAAACCGCTTGAGGCAAAGACTGCAGAAACACAGTAATGTCACTCGTCTTTGCCATCGCGTCCTATATTACATGAAACATTACTTGGTAATCTTCGGGAACTTAACAAAGCCAAGGGATTTTTTTATAAACGTTATTTCATCACAAAAACGTTAAGTTTTAAACATTAAAGTATAATTGTACGTAGTACATGTTACTTTAGTTAAATAAGGAACAGTACGACTACTATGTACGATTAAAACTACTTTTACGGATTTTATCGCGTTTTATTTATTATATTTTTAATACCCGACGTTTCGGGTGCTTTACAGCACCCATGGTCACGGGGGACTGAGGCGAATGACGTCCAGATATCAAAGTTAACACGGAGTACCTTCAGCTTTTTAATTATTGTCTTTGGTCCGATGTACGCAGAATGAACTAACTGTGTTTTGAAGTCTTGCAGTGGTATGCTTGGGTTTAGTTTTAATTTTATTAATTATAGGATCCCAAGCAGGTGGTAGTACCCAGCCTCCTTCTCTATTGAAATTAGGATGTTTTTTAATTTCAATAGCCTCACGTATCATCCTTTGGTAGGAATTGATGTTCTTTCGCAAGGATTTGTGGTCTATCAAATCCGATGTAATGGTTGGGGCCATCTAGGATACGATCGCAAACTGCAGACTTCCCGGAACGTTGATGCTTCACGTCAGCTATGTGTTCTTTTACGCGGGTCCTAATTGATCTCTTTGTTTGCCCTATATATGAGAGACCACAATCACAATCAAGCTTGTACACTCCTGCATCTTGTAGAGGAATATGACACTTGATGGGTGGTAAGAACTGACTAACCTTCTTCGGCGGCTTGCAGAATGTTCTAATAGAAGCTTGCTTCAAGATGTAGCCAATCTTGTCTGTGACACCTCTGACATCATTCATCATCATCTGATTCATTCGGTCACTGTGACACTCAATACTTAGTCAAAATATTATGACCACTCAGAGGACACACAAGAGCACACACTAAGGATTCATACCATTTTGTCAGTGAGATAAAAGACCTACGTCTTACTGACAATGAAACCATGGTCAGTTTTGATGTTCAGTCTCTATTTACATGTCTACCTGTTGAAGACTGCATCTCAATTGTAACTATGAAACTAGATGAAAATAACATGCCAACAGAATATGCAGTACTACTAAGACATTGCCTTACATCTGGCTATCTATTGTGTAAGGAAGAGTTTCACAAGCAAGTAGATGGTGTTGCGATGGGCTCACCTGTATCTCCCATTGTCGCCGATATATTCATGGAAAACTGTGACCATGGGTGCTGGAAAGCACCTGAAACGTCGGGTATTAAAAATATAATAAATAAAATGCGATAAAATCCGTAAAAGTAGTTTTAATCAATGTATAGTGTTCGCGTATATATAAGAAATCGTTACTATCTACGAGTTAAGTTTAATTTCATTGGTTAGGTAAAACTTTCACGAGAAGTTACTAAAGAACATAACTAATGTCTGTACACTGGGTTAACCAGATTGAGTAGCACCCGGGAGATCTGCGATGTTTTGGAGGACTACAGCGAGCGTCTGAAGGAAACTCTCTCTCGTTGCAAGACCGACCAAATCGCTCTCTACGACGCCTATCAGAAATCCGGACAACTCGTCCGAGATATCAAGTTTAAGCAGCAACAAGCTGACGAAAAAGCAAATCAAATGATTGAGAGTCTGCAAGATAAACGTAAGTGGAATAAGGGTACGGATTAGGAAGCTGAAGTGGCAATGGGCCAATATAGTTCGAAAAACCAACAACGGATGGGGAAGAAAGTGGCAGCCTCGTAGGCGGGCCCTCCACTAGTATGAGTGACGACCTGGTAAGACATGCATGAAGTCGATGGATGCAGGCGGGGCTCAGGGCTGTGCTTTGTGGCGTTCCTTTGGGGGGGGGGGGCTCTGTTCAGCAGTGGTTTTGTAAGAGGCTGTAATAATTTTTGTATTTTTTTTGTATGCTGATGATCTGCAGTTATACGCGCAAGTGGAGCCTTCAAATATCCTAAGTGCTATTTCACTGTTAAATGATGATTTAAAATATATCTCAGAATGGTCTACTGTGTATGGCATAAACGTGAACCCGTCTAAATGCCAATCGATAATCTTAGGTAGCTCAAGATTATTATCTAAACTGGATATTGCCACTCTACCATCAATTATGTTTAATAATAATGTCATACCATTCTCTACTAGCGTAAAGAACCTTGGTCTGTATATCGATGGTTGCTTTACATGGAACAAACATATACAGGAGGTGAGTCGCAAAACTACTGGAACGTTGCGATCTCTATATTGATTTAAAAACTTTCTTCCCACCAATACCAAGATTTTACTTGTCCAATCACTTATTGTACCGATTATTGATTATGTCGATGTGTGTTGCTCAGACCTGTCTCAACTTCATCTTAATACATTGGATCGTCTGCTAAACAACTGCATCAGATACATTTATGGTCTTCGTAAATACGACCATGTATCTTCCTTTCGTACACAGTTAAACTGGTTGCCTATCCGTCAGCGCAGATATGTTAGAATACTCTGCACCCTTTTCTCAATTTTGAACGATCCATGTGCTCCCGAGTATCTGAAATCTAAATTTCAATACATGGGAGATTCTCATAATTTTTCTCTCCGTTCCTCGGCCAATCTTAAGTTACTCACTCCTTTACACCGTACTGGTTATTTATCTCACTCTTTCGCCCTCGTGGCCATCAGACTCTGGAACGACATCCCTCTTGACATTAAAAAAGCTCCCAACAAATTCGTCTTTAAAAATCAAGTCCGTAAGTATATGATTAAATCGTTGCAAGTTTGAATTGACTAAGCGCTCTTTTTCGTATATATTTCATATTTGTTCTGACATATATAATATTTATACGAACCTATTGTGTATGTATATATATATATATATAGATATATATTTATGTATTTATGTGTATACAGTGTATGTATGTATGTATGTATGTATATATATTATATTATATATTATATATGTATATATATGTATGTATATAATATCTATGTATTGTTTATTACATATATTACTACTTCTTTTATCCTCTCTATTTGATTATTGCTGCACCGCCTCCATAATGTCTATCTCTGTTTAGCCTAATGGTTGACTGGGAGAGAATGCCCTATGGCATTAAGTCCGCCATATGTACTTTTTTTGTGCATGAAAGTATAAATAAATAAATAAATAAATAAATAATAATGATAAAATTAAAAATATTGCGATTACAAATTTCTACCCGCTTAGACCAAAGCCCCGTGCTATATGCTTAAAAACTCTTGCCGATTATAAGTAAATGACTTAAAACGCTTTGGTTCAGCATTTTGTTTATTAATTTCGCAGAGCCACGTCTCTCGGTGGGATAGTGCAATCTCGCTATGTGTCGTGTACTCCAATTCCTTTTGTATGGGAGGTGTCTTAAATCGACTTTGACTAAAGGAACGAGAAGGGAAGTCTGACAGACTACACTGCTTGACAAGGCTCTCAATGCTGGGATTTGACTAAGCCCTTCAATCCCCATAAAAATACACGCAGTCGCACGCTTCTGTCAAATCCCGAGTGGTCGCATGCGACCGCACCCACCCTCATCACTTTAAACTATTAAAACTTACATTTAGAGACTATTTTTCTATGAAGAAGTTTGGCATTATAAAATTTGTACAAAATTCTCTATCCTGTGGTCTAAACAAAAGTCAGGTTTTACTTCATTACAACAATTGTATTTTGATAGCAAAAAACGGGTACATACCAAGAGGATGTCGGCGGCGTGAAAAATAACAAAAAACGGGTACATACCAAGAGGATGTCGGCGGCGTGAAAATCACTATTATATTTCTGTATATAACTCGATATTATTTACTTAAAATGATAAATTATATTTACACAAAAACTTTTATAACAATTTTATATCAATCGTCACGTTAGGCGACATAGGCCTCCATTGCCCGTTGCCACATCGTATTACGGTCCAGAGCCAAAAACCAATCGATTCCTTGTATCTTTAATCTGGTCGTCTTAACTTCTAGTGGGGGGGGGGGAGTCGCTGAACAATGCGGTTGTCATTTCTTCGAACAATATAACATTGTATTCGAAAACCGATCGTTAACAGACAGAAAGCTTTCTGTCGGTTAACTTTATACAATTTCCCATAATCTACCCTTACACGGTATATGGGATTGATTTAGTAACGTCTCCACTACATGGAAAACTGGTAGACTTTATAAAATTTTGAATATCTACGCCCACAAAACAATACGCCTGTTCGGTCTGGGCCTAGGACGCTCTTTAATTTTTAAAATCCCACTGCTTATAATCTATCATAGAACACGATATATGTAATTGAAGATAGTTTAACAGAATAATGTTGCCGTATTTCGTATGGCGAACCGGAGCCCCTTTTTACTGAAAATGAGGCATTCCATCTTAGTCCTCACGGGTGACATCGCATGTGCATTTTGATTAAAAATTGAGGATAAATGTAGATGTCTACGGGCCACAGCATCACAGTTTTAAGATCACGCCGCGGCAGCATACACAGTGGCATAACCACTACCGCGTGTACCCCCATACAGGCGGTAGTGGGTATGCCAGGTATTGTCATGAAAATGGTAAGAAATGATTTTGGATATTACAATACAATGGAATATCATTTATTAATATTGTGTACATATTTATGTTTATTGAACAAGATCATTTTTTATTACTATAAGAAAAAACACATTTACAAATGTTGCACCGTCAAATATTTTCGTGACACTTTCTTTTTATAAATGTTCTTAGTTTTCGATTGTTAAATTTAATTATGTAATGTATTTTTGCATTCGATTATCAACGAAAAATTAGGGAATTATGTTAACCCATGTCCGTCATTTGAATTCAATTTTACTTAGTAACTCATATAACTATAACAGTAATTCACCATTCTAGATAATATATTTTTCTAAAAAGATATTAAAATTAGTTAAATAAGTACTATAAAATGCACTCGCGCCAACCGTTTGTGTTGTCTATCAGACTCAGTGAAGTGCGCTAGCACAAGGTCGGCCCGCCCCCCTGCCCCGCAGTACCCTCGCCGTAACTCTCCACAGGTACATTCGTTTCCCAACTGTAAGGTCTTTAAGCTGTGACAGCATCCACTCACCATCAGGTGAACTGTGTGTTCGTTTGTTACCCTAAAAAAATATTATTTCATTCCATTTTAGTCCTCAGGACGGACAACGCTTTCGAATTTTAATTTTGAATCGAGAATGGGTGTAAATACCTATGAGCCACAGTATAAACTTACCATCAGACTAAGAGAATGACACAACAACTGTGTGCTCACTTGTCACTCTTATAATATAAAAATCGTTCGAACCCGAGAATGCGCAATCGGTTGCGTTGAGAACCACGTAATCGTAAGTCGAGGTGCCTTTCAGTGAACATTACAAGCAACCACCAGAACCAACTGCTGCAGTTCTTCACGGCAGCGAAACAGCAAACCGAATCAGAGTTGAGTGATGTGAAAGCCAAGCTAACGGTCGCACAGACTCAGAAGGACGAGCTTCTCGCTTCTGTCGCCGAACTGAACAGAAGTATAGATAAATACAAAAACGATTTAATGAAGGTAAGTATTTATAGAAGGTTTTTGCTCGTCAAAGCTATTTATGATGAAACTGTTGCAACTAATGGTAAGTGGTCTCATCAGTCCATGTCTATCAGCCAAGTTCAATAAAGAAGAACAAGAACCGTCACTCATCAGAATAAAGATACCAAACAGTAACATTTTTTGTCCATTTTTCCCTTCCTTTTCTTATCATATGGTTTGCTCATTTCCACTTTAGTTTTTTCACTATATATGCGACATCTGTAACTTTTGTCTTGCTTCTTATATTTGTTAATTGGATTTGGTCCCGTAGCTTGATGCTTAGAACGCTTTTTTTCCATTTTGTTTTGACACAGTGAGGTAAGAAAATTGATTTAGGGGAGTCCCTATATCAATTTTCACACCTCTAGCATCTATTTTAGCATTTTTACTCCTTATTATAAATAATGATAATAATAAAATACATAGTATTTCAGGATTTTGAGTAAGTTTGAATAATGCTCTCATTGATATTGGGTCTTTCACGTTCTCTTGTGGGGTCTCTTATGTAGCACTTTTTAAAGTGACTAATTTGCAAGGTGTACACCTTAATAAATATTTACTTTATTAGTAGAGCCAAGTATCGCCCTGATCTATTACTTATTACAAAACGTAAACCAACTAAGAAAAAAGGCATAAACAGAGAGTGGACTATGAAAAAGGCACGTCTGATATGCAAGAATTAAAACCCAAAAAAGAAAGAAAACATGAACAAAATATTGTCCTCAGCTCATAAGCAACTCATAAAAAGAAGTGAAATCCAACAAAAACATTTTTATTTAAAATGCCAAGACGAAATCATATGGCTTCGCTATATGGAAGTGAGACAGAAAAGAATAAAAACGAACTTACAATTCATGCTGTCCCATGACATGGCCGAAATAAAGATGCAAGTGACAGCATCGCCAGCATCAGTAATTCACCTCACCAGCAGTCGTCATCTAAAGGATCAGCAGCTGGTAGTAACGAAGCGGCCAAGCCACATATTTTGACTAAGATGTAGAGTTAGTGAAGCTAGGGCTTGTAGAGTTAGAAGCTTAGCTCTACATGTGATCTGATGACTTTTTGACAGTGCCAGCCATATGGTCTCGTCTTGGCAACATTTTACATGAAAATGCTTTTGGTGGGACGTCTCTTTCTACTTTTCTTCTTATTTTATTTCTTCATATTACAGAGAGACGAAATGAATACGAATCTTCAAGAGGAAATTAAGAGAAATAAAGAAGAGTACAACCATCAGTGTTCTGAAGCACGCAACATCATTGCTAAACAAGAAAGGCAGTGAGTTATTTTAATTTGTGTTTACGAGTTTGTGTTCTTTACGAGCTTGGGGTTCGTGACAGTAAAAACTGCCTTGAATTACCAAAATTGACGCTTTAATTTCCGAACGCCAATTACAACTTAAAGCACACTAATAATAAAACACAATTGTATTTCTGATCAATTTAGTTCGCAGTTATATCACTTCGACTTATTCGCTTGAATCGCTAATTCAGTACTGAGTCGCGGTCCTTACCGGCCTTATATAGGGTCTCTTCTACTGAAACATCTAGAATGTTCGAGTACATACCGGTCCCGACTGACTAGGTAAAGAAATTTTTAAAATCTCTCCTAGTTCTGCTACTCGATACTAGATGGCGCTAGTGGTAACTTACCGTGTACCAGGCATTGATTATGGCGCGCAACATTTGTAAGGCTTATTTTAATTACGAATTTGTTTTAATTATAATTGAAAAAGGCTTTTGTTCCGTTGGTTTCATAAATGTCAATTATGTTTCTATATACTCGTATATTATCATGTAGTGGCGGTGGAAGAATATACACCACCCCATATCATCCCTTAGGTGCCGTAAAAGGCGACAGATGGAAACAAATCAGATGGCAGCAGCGTCTTCGTAATAGCGATTGAAAATAAAAAGTGCGGTTGCCAACCCGCTTGCCAAGCGTGGCAACTACAGCAAATATCCCTCCTATAAGACAATCTATCATTAGAGCTATTAACAATCTTAAACCGAGAGAGGCTCTTAGTGAAAAATTTAAAGAAATAAATATATTAACTTTGGCCTCTAAGTATATCTATGAAAATTTGATGTATGTTCACAAAAATAAAGATAGTTTTAATAAAAAAGTGATATACACTCTGTAAACACTAGGAACAAACACAAGCTGGTGCTACCAGTTTCTCGACTTCACAGAGTCAGTAATTCATTCTTGGGCAATGTATACGCTATTACAAAAAGTCCCAGAAAATGTACAAGGTCTCTCTATTACCAAGTTCAAATATTTAATTAAACAAAAACTCTATAAAAAGGGTTGTTATGATATAAATGAATACATGGTTGATAATAACCCCTGGGAATGAGGTGGTCGCTTCAAAGCTGTTTCTAAAATAATTTTTGTAAATATTTTGTGACCTGAAAATTTATTTAAAAAAGTACCGCTGGGTTTCTTGCTGGATCGTCCCAGGACAGAGATTTTTTTTCGAACCAGTGATAAAGTAAAATATTGACTTACAATAAGAATTACTTGTAATCTATGTTGGCTCGCAGGTTTTCCCGTTGTACAAAACAAGTTAAGATTACGCTTTTTAAGCATACTGCCAGAGCGTGTACACGGGGAGCCTGTGGGTCAAATACACCAAAAGATCGCTTGAAGCACTGCGCATCCAATATAATAATATATTCAGGATGCTGTTGGGACTGCCTCGTTTTTGTAGTGCATCGGCGATGTTTGCGGCATACCAAACAGACGGTTTTAATGCCATCATACGCAAAAAAACCGCATCCCTTATTAGCAGGGTACGAGCCAGTCACAACAGCATTCTGAGGACCGTAGCGGACAGATATACTTCGCCGCTGTGGAAATGTCTTGCGCAGAGACTGATAACTGGGCCCTATCCAGTATCCACCCCCATGATGATCTGTCTCGGCACAGTGTATTTATTTTATTTCCCTAGATTTTAAGCAAACCATTGTTTTTTTTACTAACACTTGTTATTATAATTGTTGTTATTATTATTATTATTATGTTACTAACCCACATATGGATTTTAATTATCTGAAATAAAGAATTTATTATTTATTTATTATTATTATATTGAATAAAAAAATATTCTATTCTATTCTACATTTCCTGACGATCCATTTTAATATATAGGTACGTAGTACATTTAACAACCGTATCCATTACAAATTATTCGTAGGAATCGATAACTTACAGTCTTAAAACGAGACTACTTGCTGTGAGCTGTTTATCAACTAGTTTTATCTAACAAGTATTCATGCGCGTATAAATCTGTACAAATAAACAAAATTGAGGTGTCCGTTTATAATGTCCAAGTAACAGCTTTTTACTAAATGCATATTAGAGTTTGTACAGTTCTTATAATAAAAAAAAAAACAATTTTAAAATGTTTTGTTTTTCTGTTTCCAAAAACGGTCCAGCGATTTCGGATATTAGCCGGAATCGCTAGACCGTTTTTACGGGACTTTTCAGTGGCAGATAGCTGATGTTATAAGCAGTAACTTAGCACAAAAATTAAAATCCATGAAATTGTGAACAAAATTCGATTCAAAAAGGAAGTATAAATATAATAAATTACTAAAACTTATTCTATGCGAACGAAGTCGCGGGCACAGCATGGATTAAAATATAATGCTAAAAAAAGTGAACTGTTGGTTTTCAGAGGTAGAAATAAAAGTCCAATATGTGTTCCTACGGTAAAGCTTAATGGTTCACTGTTACGGAGAGTGAAGGTAGGGACAAACTGAGACCACGTACGCAACGTACAACTCAACGTGGGTGACTTGGTGTGCACACTTGTCCCACGTATACGACGTATATTGGCATCAGACGCTGTTGTAATTTCTTCAGGTGCAAAATGTTTTCCGAGTCTAACAGTGAATTTGAGGACGATTTATTACGTTTGTTATTTTTAAATGTAAATTTCGGCGCCAAAAGAACAAAAAAAAACAGTTAAGAAGAGAAGATATTGGGTTCATAAGATAAATAAAGAAAGAGAAAATGTAGGTGAATACCATACATTATTAAAGAAATTGGTATGTGATGAAGATCGATTCTTTATGTACTTCCGTATGTCTAAAGTACAGTTTGAGGAGATTCATAGTATTATTGAATGTGACATAAAAAGAACATACACGTCTTCGGAAGCCAATTAGTACCAGAGAACGGCTAGCAGTTTGTCTACGGTATGTTTTATCTGTTTTTCTATTGCAGAGAAAACTATGCTAGGTACTATATATAGAAAATAATACAAATAATAATGGTTATGAATGTTTTTATTACCTACATATTGATATTTTCGTAATAACAGTGAGTATTTTCGACCTCACCAGTTTCTTCATCATCATTAGCTGCTTCTGATGAAACTTGGGTATGGGGCAGTTCAAGTATATAAGATGGGGAAGAATATTAAATGTGGGGTTGTACCAAACTCCCAGAAGTAGAATTTACCTATGGCGGTTTAGGCTGCTTCTGTCACTCCTAATAGCAATTAGTATTCTCAAAACATTTTGTTGTTACTTCAGTTGTTTGATCTCTGCTTCACTTATAGCTTTAAGTAAATCCATTTTAATTCGAATTTGATCCAGTCTTGGGAGTTTTTTCATTGTTTTACTCATGCTTAAAAAGAATGTATCTAGATCATCCAGTTCCTGCTTTTTATTTCTATTTTCTTGAGAGCTTTTCATCATATCCATCGTATCAGCCAAGTAATTATCAGTACTAGGACTTGCCTTTCTTTTGTATGATTTATTCGACGTAGAAATATTGGTATGCTTTCAGGGGATGGTTGGCTTTCAGCGTATGTACTCTCTGGGGATGGAACAGGAGAATTTTCATTAGACACACTAACATCAAGATTTCCTGTAGTAGGACGGCCCTCCAAATATGGCTTCAAAAATGACATTTGTTCTTCAAACCGCCAAGACGCAATTTTTTTTTCCAGCTTGGCCACTTTTCTTTTGGCGCCGTTTCATAGCATTATTATAGCAATTACGCAACTGATTCCAATTTTCTTTGCACTCGTCAACTGCAACAATAAAGATTAAATCGTGTATTCCAAATTTTTAAGAACTTGTATTAAATGTTACAGATTCCTGGCTTCGGGTAATTCATTTCGAAGTATCGGATTTAGTTATCGCATGGAATTTTCTACTATACGAACAATAGTGACGGAGGTTTGTGAAGCGATTTGAAAACATCTTGGTCCTATTGTGTTGCCGCAACCAACAGAAGTTATGTGGAAACAAGTAGCTACTGATTTCAACGCTTTTGGAATTTTCCAAATTGCATTGACGCTCTGGATGGAAAACACATAAACATGAAGTGTCCAATTAATGGTGGCTCAGATTATTGGAACTACAATGGTCAAAATTCCATAGTGCTCTTGGCTTTGGTAGATGCCAATTACAAATTTATAGTAGTAGACGTGGGCTCCTATGGAAGAAACAGTGACGGAGGTATTTTTGAAAAATCGACACTAGGCAAACTATTAGATCAGAAGAAATTAAACGTACCGGAAGATCAATCTCTTATGCCAGGATCAGAATCATTACCGTATGTTATAGTTGGTGATGAAGCATTTCCGCTTAAACATTATTTACTTAGACCTTACAGCAAAAATGCTTTGCTTAATAATGAATCCAATAAAATTTTCAATTATCGACTGTCTCGGGCCCGAAGAATTGTAGAAAATGCATTTGGGATATTAAGAGCAAAATGGCGGTTATTTCAAGGGCCTCTTCAGGTACAACCAGAAATGGTAGATAAAGTAGTTCTAGCAGCATGCTGCCTTCATAACTATTTGGGCACAACTTTTGAGTTGCAAGATGAAATATCTACAGAACCTACTACACAACGATCATTAAATACATTGCATGGTCTTTGAAGGAACCACACGCAACATGCTTACAGCTTTAGAGAAAAGTTCAAACAATATTTTGTTTCACGCGAGGGTTCGGTGCAGTGGCAATTAAATATGGTGAGAAGAGGAATGCAAATTATACAAAACGAAAATGATTAGTTTCTAGGTACCTACTTGAAAATGATTATTTGCTAAATACCTACTTGAAAATAATAAGCGTTTAATTAATGAAAGTTATATTTTATTTATCTGACTTTTAAACCCTAAAATAGAAGTTATAATTTAACAAATAAAATGCTATACATTAACTTTTTGTTTAAACGCGCTAATCTCAAAACTACTGGTTCGAATTAAAAAAATATTTTTATGTTGGATGGTCCATTTATCGAGGAAGGCTCCAAGCTACATTACGCTGCGTGCAATCAATAGGAACGGAGCAGCAGTGAAAAATGTTGCAAAAACGGGATAAACGCGTACGAAGTCGCGGGCGGCCGCTAGTATTGTTTTAATACAAATATATACTACTACACATAAAAACATACATACATACATAACGCCACGCCTATTTCCCAGGGGGGTATGCACCAGGGCGTACAAAAAATACAGTAATAAATAGGTACTTACCAGGCTTGCCATGCTGTTTTGGTATTTCTTCCCATGCTGCATTGAGTAAAATAGAATTGCGATATTCAATGCATTTAATATTATAAATGGCTTCATATCGCCTAACCAAATCAATGAGTTGTTCGTCTCCCATTTTAGAGCGAAGGTAGTATACCACAGACATTCAATCCGTGTCTGACGCGTTGCGAACGTAAGATCTAAGAAACACACTAGTCGTACGCATGGGATAGCGTATGAACATCCCCTACACGTTCCCACGCCGATCTGGCGCGACAGGTCGAACGTTGCGTGGGACGCGTGTGACAGCATTGCGTTTGACAAGTGTGTTTCTCAAATTCTACCGTTTAGATTTAATAATGCGTTGCATACATTGCGTACGTGGGTTCAGTTTGTCAAAAGGCAAGCAATATCCAGCGTATTCAATATAACAATGCCTTCAGGTTATTGTTGGGGCTTCCACGTCATTGTAGTGCCGCATGTTCGCCGATGCGCATACTGATGACTACTTCGCGATCATGCGTAAAAAATGGAGTCATTAATGCGCAGAGTGAGGGGGAGCTCAAACAGTATCTTGAGGGTCTTTGCGGAGAGGCTCGATGGCCCGACACGTGGTAGGTTTGTCAAGCTACATGTACTAAAGTGAGTTTGATAAATCTATCAAATTTGTATGCATTTTGTGCATTTTAATTTTAATTTTGTTTTATTTAATTGTTTCGTGTACTAAAATTAGTTCTTAAGTTTTATTTGTATTACTAACCTGCTATGGGCCTACGATGCATGAACAATAAAACATTTTTATTTTTTTTTATTTCAATAGTAGTAACTGTAACGGTAACGGACTGTAAGTATGTTACTTTAGTTTAAAAAAAACTGTATAGTGGGAGACGCCATGTACAGCAATCGACTTTTACGTGTTGACCAATAAGAAGTATGTATGTCGTAAGCAGTGAGTGCACTTTTGCATTGTGTGTGTTGCAGTTCCAGGCAGAACAAATGAAATCAATGTTTTTTATTCAATATAGATTATTGCATAATACTTATTGAAAGTATTTTTTTATTTACCACTGGTTCGGAGAAACATCTCTGTTCTGAGAAGAATCAGTAAGAAACCCAGCAGGTCTTTTTTTTTAAATATTTCACTTTACAATAATTTATTTTGTACAATACGCCTCATTCCCGTGAGTTATTTTCATTTATGTATAATTTGATGATATAACAATCCTTTTTGTAAAAAACTCTCTTTAATAAAACATTTAAACTTGTTTAATGACAAATTTTGTACATTTTCTGGGAAATTGTTGTAAAAGCGTATACATAAGCCTATAAATGAAGCACTAATCCTATCGCCTAGAAAGATATTTATTTGTAACTAGTGTTCCGTCCCGGCTTCGCACGGGTGATTTTTGGATATCGCGACAACATATGCATGTATTATACGTACAAACCTTCCTCTTGAATCATTCTGTCTATTGATTAAAACCCCATCAAAATCCATTGCGTAGTTTCAAAGATCAAAGCGTACGAACGGCGTGAAGCGACTTTGTTTTATGAGTATAATAAGTAGAGATTTCCCTAATTTCCTCTAAGCAACAATTATTCGACATTAGAATTAAGGAAGCAAGCGAGGCATATGCATCACTTAAGCAAGCGCTGAGCAACCAAGAGCAGTTCACACAGAGCGTGTGCGGGGAAAGGAACGCGCTACAAGAGAAGGTAGCCGCGTTGGAGGAGGAGCAGCAAGGCCTCGTCGCCGCTATGAACGCCCTCAAAATGCAGCTTGTGGTAAGACGAAATGAGAATTCTAGTATTAATGTATTGGCTAACACTGAGTACGGTCCATTTAGTAGTTTTATCCTGCAGCACATGTTTTTAAGTGTATTTTTATATATTTGTTATGTGGTTAATATTTTGGCTAAGTTTGTACTTCTTTAACTGGAATAAACGGCTTTAATTCCTTCTTTACAATTATATATTTAAATATAACTAATTTTATGAATTGCATCCCGTTTAATTTTAACCCTTTTAATTTTCAACGTTTTGGCTGCTTTACCGCGTTTATATTTTCACGTTGGTATTTAATTTTTTATTTTATTCTAGTAAAATGCAATTGAAATATCGGATTTAAGAATGTTTAAATTAATCACAATTAAATCTATTAAATTTCTTCGCTTCCTTTCAATTATAAAAATAATGCTTTTGTATTGAAGGATGCTTCCACAGCCAATACAAATAAACAACAACAATTAGAAAAACTGACAGAAGAGAAAAATAACCTAGAAAAGGATTTGTTTGATTATGTTCAGGTAAGAAAATATTAAAATATCTTCAAATATTATGAAGTTCCATTCACATATAACCTTATATTAAATTTAACATACCATGTTAATTAGTAAAGGAGGCTCTAGCGGCCAATCAATAACGGTATAACCATTCCGAATGGTTGTAAATGTTATGGCCAAGCATAAATGCCATCATAGGTTAATAGGGTGCAATGATATCGGCTCTCTGCTAGTTTACTGCTTAACCTAGAGAATATGAACAAATCTTTATAGTTTGCTGTCCAATTGTCGCATCCTTGAAAGGGTTTTGTCAGAAGTGGTTTAAAAAATGTTACATAAGATAATGAATGCTTAATAATAGGATGTCAATATTAACGCTTAATAATATGTCTATAGTTTTTGGTCCTTCGAGCCGGATTTTTGTTAAATTATTAAGTCTTTTTTAGCAATCAACCAATAGCAAGCAACAAATACAAGACCTTCAGACGCAAAAAAATACATTGGCAAACGAAAAGTTAGACATTGCGCAAGAACTACGTAGAGCTGTGGAAGACTCCGAGCGAAAATCAGCTAAAATTGAAGAACTAATTTCCGAAGAGAATGTATTAAAGAAGAAAATTACTCAAACTGAGAACGCTTTTAACTCATATAGGTTCACTTTTTTATTAAGTAATATTTTAGTAACTTCTAGTTTTATTAAATTAATCAATTTAGAAGATACCAGAAAATGTGAGTTTTGTAGACTGATTCCGCTAACAGCTTTACAAAATTTTGTTATTTTAGTCATGTTGAATTTGAAACGCGATTGTTGTAAAAGTTTACTAACTACTGTCTAAGGTACTGTCGGGGAAACGTGTCTATAAGTTATGGATAATCTGGTATTTAAGCTCCAGTTCACCACTAAACATTTTTAAAAGATGTTAAACAGTCAACAAGTGTTTTATACGTGGTAGAGCCATACTTCAGCTATATTATGGTTGTAGCACGATTGGGTCTGCTCGATCGGGAAAGGACCACGCTCACACAGAATATCAGCGTAAAATAGCATCTTAACGTTGCTGTGTGCACACAACTCGTTTGTCATCTCAATCTGTAAAAAAAGAGTTGTCAGTCCGCCTTATGCTAAATAGCTATTGCGGTCCCTGATGCGTCGCCGTCAATAGAAATTAAAAAAGGAATCAACTTTTCGTAATCATTTACAGAACGAAGAAAAGCCCTGAAATGAGTACATTGACAGGTTTTAGAGCTATAATTGCCTCCACATTTAGGTATAAAAAACATAATACTCATATTAATTTTTTTATAGAGTAAGGGTGATGAATGATCACACTGTCTACCTGATGGTAAGTGGATGCTGTGGCCCATAGACTCGATCCTTTATCCTCGATTAAGAATCAAAACGCTGACTCTTTGTCACCCCTGAGAACCATAATATAGCTGTAGCGTAGCTGTACCACATATAAAAGTCCATCTAAATGAGAATTATTATGTTATTTGAGAAATGTAATTATGTTCTCGTTTGAAAAGCATGTACTGCAAGTATTTTGCATTTCTAAAAAATTATTACCGGTATACACATGACGTGCATTTTGTTATTTCTTTAAAAGGGTTTTAAACAATTTTTCAGAGAAGCTACCGAAGATAAAATTAATACCATGCAAACTAAATTACAAAATAAGGATAAAGAAATAGATTCCAAAGCGGCTACAATTAACCTCCTCATGTCGGAAGTGAAGGCCGGCACTGACGCCCGCTCCCAGTTGGAAGGGACCGTGCAGAAGTTGAATAAAGACTTGGAAGCTGAGAGGGAAGCGGGAAAGGAGAAGGAAGGGAAGTTAGGGAAACAGATCGAACACCTGGAGACTTCAGTTAGAGTGAGTACGGCTTAGCGTATTATAAGTAAGGTGTATTAACGATTCATTGCTGTGAACATATTTTACTCGCATATAAAGATTAATTTCTAATAAGTAATTGAGTATCGACACTAGTCAATTGAAATATTTTTGAGAGCTGTCAAAACAAACGTCTTAATATATAAAAATTAATGTTTGTTTGTTCGTATTTAACGCGCCGTCATACCGTTCATCAGATTGCTGTAAAACTTTGTAACTTATTTCCCACATATATAACAAATAGTACAATTAAGGCCTACTGTCCATGGCGGCGTAGCTTCGTAGACGCGTATTTGTCATTATACGCTTGGTTTACGCCTGCTTGAAGCTTACATACAATACTATGTAACTCTGTCGACGGAGCGGCAACGTCGCGCTCGCGTCGCTGCATGCAGGCTTCATGGCGCCTGCCGTACCGCACGTCATACGCCCGAGCGTACATCGAGTGAGCGCACGTGTTTATTTTCGTAAAAATGGCGGCAGTGGCCGCGAAATTTGTTCAGATAGTAGAAAAATATCCATGTTTATACAACAATAATTTAGCTGAATATTCTAGAAAAGATTTAACTGAAATGGCTTGGAGTGAGGTGGCGAATGAAATACAATGGACGAGTGAGTATCGACTTTATTTATTTTGTACTTAAATACTTAACATTTATTCAATTATGCAATTATTTCACTGCCATGGCAGAGCAACATTAGACTATAAAAAGTAATTTGCTAAATAATTACGTAAACCGTTTGGTGTATTTACAAACGTCATGCGAACTTTGGTACCGAAGTACCAAAGTTGGTGCACGATGAATATTGGAACTATTTGAATTGTTTGCAGTGGTTGTGTATTGAACACCATCATATCTCCGTATGTAATTATGCAAAATACATGCGCACTGTACTATTGAAATTATTGTTGAGTGCGATATATAGCTTTCAGTAGTACTTGAAATATTTGTGTCAACATTCCAAAAACACATTCAATACTTTTGCGTCCGCGACTTAACCTATAACTGTAAATTCTTTTCGCATTATCCAGATTTCTAACTGAATATAGTCTCAATAAATTTTTCCTCAGAGGGAATGCATTATCTTCCACAAAGTAGTAAGGAAAATGATTGCCAGTGGCATCATTTGGCAATGGTGTTAATTCAGTTGGGATGCTTAAACCTTCCCTTTCCAACCAGTGCCCAAGCGCTGATACTTGGAACACGCCCCCGTCACTGTTCCGTCCCGCAAATCCACATTCAATGCTCGTAAAATATCCATCTGCATCACAGCATCCAAGCAAAATAATAGAATGATACCCCTTATAATTGTAGTTGGCTGAACCTGTATTAGGGAATTTCTGTATCCTGATGTGCTTACTGTCAATAAAACCCAAGCAATTGGGTAGATTCCAAAGTTCATAATACTTTTTCGCAATTTCTTTCCATTCATCAGTAGTTGGTACATGCGTGTACGTATCCTTCAATGCATTACATATTATTTTAGTCGTTTTTGATATTACGCGTGAGACTGTACATTCTCCTCGGGCAAAGTAAAGTCCTAAAGCTCGAAACGAACAGCCTGTAGCTAAATACCTGAAAATAAATTATATTTTGTTTATTTTATTATCAGTTTATTGTGCACAAAATACAGCAGAGCTATTTTGTCAGTTATCAATGAAAGCGATGGTCACTACATCTAGATTACGTACTACGAATTGTCAAAACGTCGTCTTGGTACCAGTTATCGTCGGTTACCAACTATAATGATGAAACGTAGCATCTTAACATTTCATAGTCCGTAATTTAGGTGTAGTGAGTATCTTTTTTGTTTTTGATTGAGTTTAATAGCCCTGCACGTTAATATTTTAAATATATATTTGTGAATAGAAAATCCTCAAGTTAGTACCTAAGTATTTAGATGTAATGAAAATCTGTTTGTTTCAGTAAACGACTGTAAGGAAAAATGGAAAAATATTAGAAACGGTTTTGTTCGAAGTTTAAAACCGAAGGCTAGTGGATCGGCTACCACCAGAAAAAAAATACTATTTGCACGATGAGATGCAGTTTATATTACCATACGTAAAACCAGTCATTCACATTGAAGAAAATGGAAATTTACCAAATCCTGAATTATCGCCTCTCAATCAGGAACCTGCGTCCACCGAAGAGCGGGACGTTGATTCTAACAGGAATATTACGGAAGAAACTAATTCAGAAACTCTTTCCCATGTTGAAAAGCCGTCGTCGTCGTTCCAAAAACAAAAAACGAATTAAACCTGTTAATAACGAAGCTGATAAGGCTTTTGTGGACTGGCTAAAAACCAAAAAACCTAATGAAGATGATCCACGAAAAATGTTCCTTCTGAGCTTGCTACCCGACATACAAAGTCTTTCAGATGAACAAATGAGCGCCTTTAGAATAAAAGTGTTGATTCTTCTAGAAGAAATTAAAAGACCAACGTCTTCAGTAATCCAGTCACAGCTGCACCAATATAGAGACTATTCTCCGATTTCCTCCGTTAATTCCCATACTCCACTGGTCCCATCCACACCTTCTCCAATAAATTATTCCACCGACTCACAAGTTTTCTCTGGGTATTCACAACCACAAGCTTTAACACTGACCCCTATTAATTATTCCCAAAATATTAACGATTTTGAAGATTTTGGGATAGAATAAACATGATATACAAGTCCATTTTTCAACTGTTATTTTGCATGATAATTAAATAAAAAATATTTTAATTAAAATTGTTTTACTCACCGCAATGTTATTAATATCCTTTCATCTGGGCTGACACATTCTCGCATATTGGTGTTTTGTTTTTGTAACAGAGGGGCTACGATTTGCAGTAAATTCTGATAAGTAGTTTTACTCATTCTATAGAATTAGTGAAATAAACTATCATCTTCTAATAACTCTCCGCAACAAACAATCTACAATTGATGTTTTTTTCTATATATGGATGCACTCAATATAATCGACGTCTTCGGCGGCGAATGTAGTAATAAGCCAAAATAACGTCTTCTTCGTTCGACGACATTCTCACAAATGATTGTAAACGTACGCTAGCAAGACGCCTCGTGGACAGAGTTGAGTACGCTGGGCTGCACAAGCTGCACGGCGTATTTTGAAGCGTCTATGAAGCCATGTCTCCGTGGACAGTAACGTTTACTGACAACAGGTGACGCGCGTATCGTACCAAAAAAAAGCGCGTGGTAGCAGTTAACTTCCAATAAAAGTTATATGCAAATGAGAAGACCTCATAGTTTTTCCAGTCAAATAATTAATATCTCCTTCATAATTTTATGAACGACTTAATCGAAGTTAATTGAAATAATCTTAAATGACAATAAACCTGAGCACAGGCCTCTCGCTTATTCTGAGGGTTTTAGGGCAAGGAATTGTCCGCCGCGCTGCCCAAATGCGTGTAGGCGAACTTCACATGTTTTCGAAATATTTTTTTCTTATTTTACAGACATGCAGGTTTCCTCACAATGTCTTTCTTCACCGCCGGGAATGTAGTAAATCGGCACTTAAAATAACAATTAACAATTTAATTGGTGCCGGCGGGATCGAACCCGGTTTTCTCGCGTACTGTGAAATTTACAGCGAGCACTAACCATCTGAGCTACCAGAACTAATTAATATTGAAATAAAATAGTAACGATAACAATTTCGTAATAATCTAATAAGTAAAAATATAAAATGTACCAAGTTTGTGCAAATTGTAATTAGGTACAAGATGTTGTAATTTACGAGTATTAGTGATGGTAACCACTACTCAATGAGGGCTAATCACCTCCCGCTCATTAGATGTCGCTAGGTGGAACTGAGGTGAAGTTTTTTGTTATACAATCCTTTAATTGTGAAGTTGGTTTTAAATATAAGTTTATCAGTTTCTAGAGTATGATGTTGTTACACTTAACAATGCCTCATTGGTGTGCTCCTTAATTTTTACACATTTTAAACTCTTTTTTTTTCTTCTTTTGGGAATAACCGCAGTTTGGTTTATTTATTTCTAATCTAATTAATATAAAACATAACAAATATGACACAAAGAAACATAAACCTAAATTTCCCTGAAAGATTAACTTACCCACTTTGAAATCTGTCAAATATTTAATTTCACTCCAAAGTGGCGGCGCCCTGGTGGCAGAACAAGTAGTGGATTGACTGGATCTATTGGAACAAATAAAATATTAACTTTGTACTAGTGCCATGTTGCGAACAAACTCAAGTTGTCAGTTACTGTTACTATAGCACACGATAAATACTGATTGCTTATATAAAAATAGAAACTTTATTTTTTGTATCCCTGTCGTTTACATTCATTAACACTTATGTGTGCATCTTTAGGACAAGGAAGACGAGCTCTCCAAGCAAATGTCTATCATACTGGAGATGAGAAATGAAAAGGTAAGTGCAAAATGTAATTCCAAGAGGTTTTGTGTGTTATTCGTTCAGCACTCCTAGATTACATTCCATACAAGAGGTTTAGATTTATAAAACTATTGCTCTGCAATAATAACCCCCGAAAGGCTTAGAGCATGGAGTGTAGAGGTAAGGAGAACCGTCTCACATGGAGAATAGTTGACAATGTAAATAGTAGTTCAAAAACTCTCCACAACAGCGCTAGAGTAGCTAGAGGGTATGAAATGAACTTAGCAGTTGTGGAGTGTGCTGAGTTGAGGAATTTAATATTTGTGGTGACTAGAGTAGTTGATGAAGCTGCAGTATTTAAAACCTCATCTACTCACGTTGTGTAATATAATTTAGTAAATATATCCTAGAAAAGGTCACCGTGAAACACGTTAAGTGATTTTGAAAATAAACATTTTGAAAACAATAAAATCATTATTATGCAAAGAATTATGGTGAAAGCTTTTGCGATAAAAATTTATAAAAAGTTCTATAATTTACCTTCTCTGCAGTGTACAGTAATTTACAGTGGCGCCACTCCTTATTTAACCCTTTCCTACGGACACTTTTTAATATACAGAGACGGTTTTCCTTACCTCCCCACCCCTTACACTCCATGGTTTAGAGTTAATGGTATACAACTGTGCTGTGAAATAAAAAAAGTGAACTGCTCCAGTTGCCATACCTACCAAGAGTATTGCCACTATCGATAAGTTAAATATGATACAAGCATAAAAATGTCCTCGCTTTTAATCTATTTTCCAAAAAAAATATTTTAAACCTTTATGTGAATTAGAGTGGCTCATGGCGCTTGTGTATATTTGAAGTGAACCAGACCAACGTAGCTTATATTATAGCAATGAACTATGTGCAATGTGTTGCACAGGAGCGTCTCCTGGATAAGATCCAGGGCATGCAGCAGACTATCGACAATATCCAGAAGGAGTTGACAGGGCGGTTGGGCCAGTTGCCTCAGGCTCAGCGGGACCCACCTGAGATGGACGACAACGCGGTCATGCTCTCGCCCTCTAATGAGGTTGGTAACAAATATAAAAAATATACAGGCTTAGCTAAAATCCCTCTAATGAGTCGATATCAAAATGTATTTAGGTACATTTTGTTGAAATTTTGTCCTTCATATTATTTTTCTTTTTATAAAAAATACATACGTTTTAGTTTTGCTTGAGGAAACTACGTACATATACGTATATTTACGGAATGATGTTTCCATTATTTTTAACCGGGTTTTTACTTTCCTCTCTGTTTGTGTGTTTGGTAAAATAATTACAATCGATTTCAAGTGACGAGTGATATAATACGAGATGGTTGCACTATTAAAGCCAATAAGTCTGAAAATTGTATTTTCTGTAGTCCCTTTATTACGACACCCACGGGCCTATATGGGGCGGTGAAAGAAAGAACCAACTTGAAGCTACATTCATAAATTTTTGCAGCATATGCAGCATATTACATCATATTACGTCAACATTAATGCAGAAACAATTATCCGACTCAGCATTGTGCCGTGGTGTAATATCCACAGCGCTGATATTTTACTGGTGCCCTTTTCAAGAACTCTGTTGAATTAATTTACGCTATCACCACGGCTAACTGCACATAGTCTAAAGCACAATAGAATTATGTTGGCGACCTCCCACAAATAAGGGAGGGTTCAGTAAAAACTAAATCTTGTGTAATCTTCTCTACGTCTACTTATAATAAAATCTTTCAACAGAAAAACACACCGAACTCTCCAATCATCCAAAAGAAACCGAAATTTGCAGTGCCGCGGACTGATCCTAAGCAACTGGAGAGCATGGTGTTCAATTTGTTTAGCGACAGCAGCGTGGATGGGGACACGATCGACGTGAGCATTATTACTACACTATTTTATTTTTATTTAATACGATAAAACTTTTGGTTATAACCATGAATGAATTATTGATTTATTCGTAACACAAAATTTATAACATAAAAATATAAACAAATATATTGGGTTGCAACTACGAAAAGGCGTCCGACTCAACATGATGCTGCAGCTCGGTGCTTCCCACAACCAATGGTCTGCTGGAGCTTAAATATGATCCGCGAAAGATTTAAATATTTTGCTACCCTAATCGTTTTAAATAACACATTTGTTATTTTTAAATAGCTAGTAGCTTTTGCAATAAATACGCAAATAATACTCTTAATTAATGCTTCTTTTCAGTTTATTACATAATCATGTTAACAGTCAAAAAAAAACAAATCTAAGAAATACATTTTTACAGCTGTCAGACTTAATGCACCAAGCATGGCAACCAAAAAATGGGAACATACAATATTCGATTCTTAAAAAAATCGATATCGATTATTTAGAGTTGGTAATCATTTACAGTTTGGTTTGAATAATACCAGAATAAATTAAAAACGTATGATTTAAAACACAAGATTTATCATTTTCTTCGTATTTGTTGTAACTGCTTGTTTCTAGAGGGAAAGTTATAAAAATTTAAGATTGGTAAACTAAATTCAAAATAAATTTATTCAATCACTTTCAGTACAACTAATAGGAATGTCGTTGTTTATATTAATTATTATTATTTGATTTTCAATAATGCAGTCAAAACTAATGTCTCTTTCAAAGTTATCCATAATATTTTTTTTGTTTTTCTACCACTTGCCCAAACATCCTTTGTGACATGGGCACCTGCTTCAACGAATTTTTTTTATAGCATTGGTTGACAAACGCTCACACAGTCCACCTGATTGGTAAGTGCATGCTATGGCCCATAGATATACACATTTATCTTCAATTTAGAATCAAAATGCAAATGAGTTGTCACCCCTGAGGACTAAGATGGAATGCCTCGATTCCAGTAAAAAGGGTCTACGGTTCTCTACACTCACCATATGAAACACATCAGCATTACGCTGCTATTTTACGCTGGTATTCTGCCCTGGTTGAGCCGACCCATTCGTGCTACAACTATAATATAGATGTAGCGTGGCTCTACCATGTACAAAAAGTTATTATAGAAGAAACAGTCCAAAAAGTTAAAGCCGAGTCACAAAATAAGAAGACAAACACAAAATCACAAAATTACGCACAGTAAGCTTTCGAAACAGAAACAGAAACTTTTTTATTATTCAATATATATTATGAATAATACTTATTGAAAGTCACTTTTTCATTTACCAGTGGTTCGCAAAAAATACCTCTGTCCTGGGAAGAACCATTAAGAAACCCAACGGGGCTAGTTTTTAATAAGAGTTAAAATAAGAGCTTATAATCATGCGTGTTACAATTAACAACAAAAAACAAATTAGAAATTGCTTGGTAGCGATCACCCTTCATCATCATCATATCATGCATAAATTCCTTACTTACTTACTTACTAACTTATCTTCACGCACAATCCCTAACGGGGTAGCCAGAGAGAACAGATCGCCAAGTGTCACGATCCTTACATACCTCTTTCGCTTCTTTCAGGTTCATTAACTTCTTCATACATGCACGTCTAGGTATCCGAGTACTCTTGACCCTCCCCTCTTCGAGCAATTTGCCCACATGGTCTTCGAAAGTTAGTCTCGGTCTACCTCGACACCTTTTAATATTTACTTTCGCTCTATATATTTTCTTCACCATTCGGTCTTCACTCATTCGTTCAACGTGCCCAAACCATTGGAGTACGCCCCTATCAATTTTTGTGATAAGGTCATCTTTCAATCCTGCCATATTGCGAATCTCTTCGTTTCGCTTTCGGTCGGCTAAGGTAACGCCACACATTTTACGAAGAGATCGCATCTCCACTGCATTCAACTTGCTTTTATGCTTCTTCTGGCATACCCAGATTTCGCTGCCATATAACAAAGTCGGTACCAACACTGCGTTATGTATTGCAAGGCGTGCACTCTTCACCACGCCTTGCCTTTTGACTAATGCATTCAGGGCACCATTGACCTTGTTTCCGGCAGCGACACGCCTATCCACATCTAAATCACATCTTCCATCCCGGCTGAAAGCACTCCCCAAGTATACAATTTCATTTACCTGTTCTAGACATAAATAATAAATTGCTTAATATTAAAATAACCCTTTTTTATACAAACTTAGTGTAATAAAGTTTTTGAACTATATGTACTTACGTCAAATTTTGTATGTTTTCTGCCATTTTATTATAAAAGAGTATACATCGCCTCAAAAATAAATTACTGATTCTGTGGAGTCGAGTAACTGGTATCGAAATGGCGGGATATTGAAATTATGTAGTGGTTATTTTAGCACGGCCTTTTATATGAGTTTTTTGCCTACAAAAATTTACTTTGACAAAGTGAAAAAAATAAACTTGTTTTATTCATGATTCATGTAATTTAAAGAATTTTGAAAATAAAAATTAAATTAAACAAACAATACATTTAAGAAATTAATGATTCGATTATTAGAATATTTTTACCGATTATTTAATTATTTTGTCGATTATTCGCATAACAATGAATTTTAATCATCCAAACACTACGGTAATATACATAGCGACATGTCATTGTAACGACGTCAAGTAAAAAAAGTTAATACTGGTTATTTTTTAATAATTTGCTTTGTTTGAAAAATTCAAATTTAAATTAGTGATAAAAAACTATACACGTTGTAATGAAATATAGATAACCTCATAATTCTTCGGATTTACGTAAATGGTTATTTTAAATCGTGTGAATACGCTTGTGCAAAGTTATTGCGGAATGATTAATGTGAAACGTCAAAAGGTATTTCTTAGATTTCGTTGACTATAGATTAACTTTATTTTTTTCCACCTTGTAGTCACTGCCAACAATAAAATAATCAAAGTGGTCTCTCTCTCTCTCTCTCTGTTCAAAAAAAAGGTTGAGAAACCCTGCTGTAGCTATAGTAGTGTTGCCTCGGCCACAGCGGTTATTCTGTTGGTGCCTCTTATTTACCGATCAGTTGTCGAACATATTTCTGTTACAAAAACTATTTAAATAAAATATTAACATCGTTGCCGATATAGTCCGCGAGCACGATTTAAATTGCTATCTTCATGGCCTACGCATAACATCATATCGTAATATTCCGAGTTAGAAAGCATTGTTATTTTGCAAAAAAAGTTGGAAAAAAAAACTCGAAACAGTTGTAGGATATCGATTAGAAGATTTGAAATTAACAACATATTTTTTTTACAACTTGACCATTTTTAAGCCAGTACTTGAGTATAATGACATCCTTGTATTTATGAATGAAAAATAGAAAAACTATTAAAGTAGACAATTATTAGGTAAAATAGGTACGTATGCCTTTCTGTTAAAAAATCTGGTTTCCGGACATAACAGTTAACTAGGGTTGACAAAATTTTTGGCTTTGATAGTTAATTATATTTTTGCAGGGTATTTTCTAACACGTTGTATTATAATTTAATATGGAATCAAAATATGCGCCTAAAATAGGATTCTAACCTACGTGTCAATAATGAGGTCCTCTGAATTTAGCTAGGTCGCAAACTTGACTAATAAATGTGATTTATATATAATATTATACACGTAGCGATGAAGAAAGTTGATGAATGCAGGTGGCTCAGGACTGTGCTTGCGGCATTCCTTGGGGGAAACCTACGTTCAGCAGGATTTGTGAAAGCCTGTAATGATGATAATGATGATATATCTATAGTTAGTTCTTAAATAAGATTTATACAGACCTTGACCCCTTAGCGAACGGGGGTGGCGAACCTTTATGTATCAACGTGCCGTTTTTCTAAAGAAATGTTTAATTAGGTAATAGATGTGCCGTAATTTTGACTTCGTGATTATTGGGAAAATAATACCTAGTACTAAATACTATCGACTCAAAACTCTTTCCTTATTACAAAAAATATATAGTGTTTTGATTAGTTTTGAGTGAGCTGTAAAATATACTTTGTAATTTATAATACTAAATGTTTCAGTTATACGCGTTAGTCAAATGAAAGTAACATTAGTGTGACTTCTTTTGTTGCAGATTAGATGACACAAATGAACTTTCAAATACATTTGTGTCAACGATATTGATTAATATCCTATGTGTAAACGAACTATGCATTCCTTGGGGGAGGCGTGGACTTGTAAAGGGCTGCAATGATGATTATGATGAAACGAACAATGCGTCATTCATTCGCAATAGTAGTCCACGATGTAAATAGGATCAGTCGCGTTCGTTCGTAATATAATGCTTTTTTTAATTTTTAATTTTGTTAAAAGCAACGTATGTTTTGTTTTAGCAAGTGCATGTAAAGTGAACATTATAATAGTCTATTGTACAGTTGTTATATAGCGCAGTAAACATAATGTAGCATTGTTGGTTTCGTAAGTTGCGTGTTTAGAGAATACTGGAAACTTATAAACTGTTATGCTCTCAGATAGATGACAGTATCTTCATCTCATATATAAGCGAAGAGAAGTAGCAACAAAACTACTCCGCTATCAAACGTAGTGATTACAAATCCTCTCCCAAATGGGAGAGTCGTCCAACACCGGTCTGTAATAGGTTGGTGTAGATGAAAATGGTGAACTCAGCATAAACATCCGTGCATATAACTTGGATACTGATACTCGATAGAAACGAATAGCCTACTCTAATTTAGCTTAATATAACTTTATCAAAGCTAAAGAGGCTGGTGACAAGAGGGCTGATTCTTTTCTCGCTTAAAATCTGGGTGTGATCCATGCATCGAGGAAACGTAGCCAATGTTCTTGGCTATACCGCAAGGAGTAGGACTGTATGAACATTTTAGTTCGTTATTACTATAACGAATATTGTCTTTTATGTAATGTAAATAAAATAAAAACTTACCCTTGGTGCAGGAATCGGATGTGGAGCGTCGGTTTGCAGCGCTATCTCGCGGTGAACGCGTGGCACCCAAACCTTTAGCTGCTTTTAAGCGACGTTCTCGTTTAATGCCTGCTAACGTATGTTATATAATAATAATCAATACTTTTTTATTTGAGTGATGCCTAAAAATGCCATACCACAATGTATTAGGCCTAGCCATGCATATATTACTTTTAAGATGAAAGTAATAAAAAATATACATAGGATTGCATAAAAAATGCAATCATTGTTTGGTCCCTCAAACCAGATAGGATTTTTGCAAAATATGATGAAATTCCTTGAATAAATATATCAGTAAATTTGTGTATACCTAAATAATCAGTTGGTATCCTTATCTATACCGGGAGATCTTTTTTACTGTCTGAAAAAAAGGGTGTACCAGGTGAATGGAATAGAAGTCAATGGCACTAAGATTTTACAATTTTTTTTTATATTTACATATTATAAAATTGATGTAATCAATAAATACCACTAATTGGCTGTGTATTATTTTAATTGCAATAGTTTTTAATTCATTTATTTATTTAGTAGAGGCACGCGGCAGCTTTGCTGTTTCACGTATGGGCCGGCTCAAACCGGGGTGGTACACCGACCTCACAGAATACCGGCGTGAAGTGGAAGCTCAGCTTCCGCGTTTCGTCTGGTGAGTGCAGGTGGCCGGAGGCCCAATTACCCCTCCCCCCCCATCAACATGGCAGCGGAGTTAAATGTTAGACTACCCCAGGAGGGTACCAGAACCCCAGGAGAATCCCTCGTGGAGCATCCATGACCAAGTTCAAGTTACTTCACACCTGAGCGTGGAGCAACAAGACCAAGGCGACCCATGCCACGCTATCCGTGAATTTCTGCAATATCAGGGGACTTCACTCTAACCTAAACGCCGTCCACTACCATCTCGCGAAGTCGAGGCCGGCTCTGCTCTTTCTGACCGAGACGTACGTGTCTTCTCCGGCTGATGTCTCGTATTTCTCCTGCCCGGGGTACACAAACTGGAACACTCCTTTGTGCCTCGGGCTGGAGTTTGCGATTACGTCAGTGAGGACATCTGGTCTCGACGCCTCAGCAGTCCTGAAGGTTCGGACCTGTCCATCATTTGGCTACGCGTAGACAGCGACCTGGTGCCTCTATAGGTCCCATAGCGGTAATGCCCAAACAGACCGACTCTTCGACCACGTCCAAATGGCTACAGATTCGTTGCTACAGCAGATCCCCTCCGCAGATATCGTGATCCTCGGCGATTTTAACGCCCATCACGCCGAAAAACTTGGTTCACGTTTAACCGATCATGCGCGGAGATCTGTTCATGATTTTACCTTGGCATATGGTCTGACACAACTGGTTACTTCGCCTACTCAGATTTCGGATGTGGAGGATCATGTACCTTCCCTGTTGGACCTTCTGCTGACCTCTCACCTGGACAGATATTAGATTTCCGTCGACGCCCTTTTAGGCTTCTCGGACCATTGTCTTGTCCAGAGTGTGGTACCACTCACGCTGAAATCCCAGTTGCATTCTGTAGGCTGCCGCCGTGTTTGGCACTATCGGTCAGCCGATTGGGATAGGATGCGGTCTTTCTTTGCATCCTACCCTTGGGGGCGGGTTTACTTCTCGCCGGACGATCCCAACGTTGTTGCGGAATCTGTCGCTGATGTGGTACTTTAGGGTATGGAACTTTTATTCCTGTATATACCTACCATGATTTGGTCGCTCCTGTAAAATAGCATCATACTATAAGCAGTAGTGCTACCAAGCCTGAGCTGACGCATCAACGTCCCGGGATGTAAACACCATCGCCAAGGCTGTTCAGGAGAATTTCTGTCAGCCATCTCTTCCATCTCTGCAGAGGGAGAACTACTCACTAGCACATACCGCAAAGGAGAAAGCCGATCTACTAGGCTCTTTCTTTGCGTCCAACTTGACTCTCGATGACGGGGGGAGTACGACGCCGACCCTCCCGCGGTGTGAGTGCTCCATGCTGGAGGTGCAGTTCACACAGCACTCGGTTTGCAAAGCACTCCTCTCCCTGGACATCCACAATTCGAATGGGTCTGACGGAATCCCCCCAATTGTGCTGAGGACGTGTGCTTCAGAGCTGGCACCGGTTTTAACGCGTCTTTTCCGGTACTCCTACTCCCTAGGCGTAGTCCAAAAACCATGGAAGATGGCTTTCGTCTACCCGATCCCTAAAAAAGGCGACCGCTCAGACCCGTCCAATTATATGTCTATCGCCATCACCTCCTTGTTTTCCAAACCAATGGAGTCCATTGTAAACTGCCAGCTCATGAGGTACCTTGAGGATCACCAGCTGATTAGTGATCGCCAATACGGTTTTCGTCGTGGTCGATCAGCTGGTGATCTTCTGGTCTACCTAACTCATAGATGGGCGGAGGCTGTAGAGTCCAAGGGGGAGGTATTGGCCGTTAGCTTGGACACGGCGTAAGCCTTGGATCGGGTTTGGCACAAAGCGCTTCTTTCGAAGCTTCGTTCCTATGGGCTTCCCGAGAAATTGTGCAATTGCATCACCAGCTTTCTTGCAGATCGGAGCATCAAGGTCGTTGTAGACGGTGCAAGCTCCGATTACAAGCCTATTAATGCTGGTGTTCCACAAGGCTGCGTGTTATCGCCCACGCTGTTTCTTATGTATATCAATGATATGTTGCAACCCCGTAATATTCATTGCTATGCAGATGACAGACTGGTGATGCTCTGTACACCGGCCGTGCCAATATTTCTCGGGAAAACATCTCCAAGTACCGGGACAAACTTGTGTCTGAAGTCGAGTCTTTGCTGAACAAAGTCTCGGATTAGGGGCGATTAAATCTAGTCTAGTTTAACCTTAAGAAGACGTAAGTTAAGCACTAAAAAGAACCCCTTTGTCGTATCTCCTCAGTTACAAGGCACTCGCCTTGTTGCCTCAGCTAGTATCAGAATCCTCGGCGTCGACATATCGAGTGACGTGCAGTTTCGTGGTTGGAAGAGAAGGCTCCTTCCACTTGACAGCATCCAGCGCAGAGCGACTCGAATAGTCAATGACCGAGTGCTTTTCGAACGGCTCAATTCACTGGCGCTGCGAAGAGATGTTCCATCTCTTTGCATTTTCCATATACGAAGAAAAAAAATTTCGCAAGTTAATATTCCACCTGGGAAAATCCGCGGAACCGCCTCTTGTTGCGGTTGATCATGAGCGGCGGTAGTCACTTAACATCAGGTGAGCTGTATGCTCGTTTGCCCCCTCTTCTATAACAAAAAAATTAAAGTTGTTAAAAAATAATTCGCAGACCGGTCAGCCACCGCAGTCTACGTCACTTGAGGATGCCTCGTGTAGAGGCGACACATGTGTATTATCGTCGATGGTGTGTGTTTCCTAGTTTACTGGTTTTGGGAGTAGTGGTGATGAGATTAGTGGTGACGGGATTAGTACACGCAATTGAGGGACGGCTCTTCAAACTAGGTAGAATACATAATTTCATTTTATTTAGAGGATTGTGCGAAGTAATTCTTAACAACTTTAATATAATGGATTTCGACTCTTAACTCTCTTCGATTTTAAAGTAACGCCTGATTCTATTAATTATCAAGTAAGTGGTATTTATTGACAGTTCAATTTCATAAATTGTTATTGTAAAAGAAAAAAAAGTAAAATATCAGTGCCACGGGCTTCATGTGTTCACCTGTCACACCATATTTTTTTCCATACGGAAAAAATCAGCCTGTGTATAAAAATTAAATGTATGTGCATGTCTGTAATATTGAAATATCTGACTTGTATATATTGAGCTCAAGGGCTATATGTGCATGCGGTTAGGACATAAACAAACATTATTTAAAAAATTGACTTTTTATAGAATAAGAGTGACCAACGAGCACACAGTCCACCTGATGGTAAGTGGACGCTGTGTGGTGGATGTTAATGACATTTACATCTATCCTCGATTAAGAATCAAAAAGCAGATGCGTTGGTCATCCCTGAGAACTAAGATGGAATGCCTCGTTTCCAGTAAAACCGGTCTCCGGTTCTCTACACTCACCATAAGAAATACAGCAGCATTAAGCTGCTATTTCACGCTAGTATTCTGTGAGAGCGTGGTCCTTCCCAGGTCGAGACAACCCATTCACGCCACAACTGTACAACTGTAGCATGGCTCTACCACGTAAACAGTCTGTCTGGGCTAACCTTCGTAATGGCTGAAGCGATTGTGACGAAACTTTACGAACAGATAGAGAGCAATGCTAGGGTTATCTATACTATATTTCATTCTAAAAATTGAAGATCAAAAAAAAAGCGAGAACAAATCTAAATAATGCTACATTAGATCCTGTCTGGGCGAACCCGGAGTGGGTCACTAGTGTATAATAGGTAACAATCTAAAAGAAAGTTCGCCCGCACAATGTAAAACATACAAACCTTTGTACTTATACACATATTTTATGTCTTTTCAGGCGCCGTTATCCATTTCTCAAGTTAGGAATGAATTAAAAACTAAAGAACGCACCTTTTTCAAGCACAAGCGTGTGGATAAAAATGAAAAAGTAAAATAAATATCAAATTAGAAATTGTTACATGATTTGTTGTTATTTGCTTAATGTTCAAATTATAAACTACATTTTATTTAATTATCTTAATCTGTTTTTTCTAACTTGTTAGAATATTCGTCTTTAATCTAATATTAGATCATATACATGGTCATTCATTCATCATCTAATTAATATACCTAAGTACAATTATTCTGTTTGTTAGTTGATTTTTGAAATAAAAAATAATTATAAAACATGTAGTTTCACTCTTCAGAACAATAACTGCATAAACTTCAACGCCTGTTTCCCAGAGGGGAAAGTAGAGACCACACTATGCACTTCCATTAGGCAAAATCATGATACACCGCTCTCGTTTCAATTATATCAATATTATCAACGCACACGTGGGTACAGTAGTCGCTTATTCTTCCATACAAACGTAGTCCGGCGATAACTCCACTGTTTGATGGTGTACGTTCAAAATAAAACATGATTTCAATTGGTCTCATCATTATCTAGCCCTGTATGGAAACAAAAAAGTAAAAAAAAAGAGTATATTTAAAAGTTATAAGCGTCGAAAATTCCGAATTTTTTTAACACATCTTTGGGCGGAAATAAATACCATAAGAAGAACGAAAATTGCAAAATAGTTACCATACAGGGATAGATTAGTTGTTCAAAAATGCAAATAATTTTATTTTAAACAGATACATTCAATAGATTTTTCGTGACATCCAGACTACCAAAGGTCTGTTTATAAAATTTCGCGCGCCCGTTTTTGTTATAAAACATCTTGCCTTTCGCTACAAATTGTTTCCCCGATCAATGGGACGGACGGAGGGGGGGGGGGCGCAGCGCGCACTCACACATGCTCACTAGGTTAGCCTCTGCTATCTATTTATGATTGTAATTATCTACATCTTTATTTAGAAAAATTGCTTCCTTTTTTGTTCGTGTCGATTGCTGAAGCCGGTATGAATATAGCTGCTAAAATGTTCCCATAAGTTTGTTGAAGCACGTTTAGTTAAAATTGAAAAAAGTGGTACATAATAATGAACTTTCGATACAGATAGTACATTAGGTACTTAACTACTTAAATTTGCTAACTAACGAAAACATCTCATAGATAAGCACGATTATCGAAAATCTTAAAATTATCCATTAATTGAATTAGAATAGGTAATTTTTAGATTTTCGATAATCGTGCTTACGTATAGGAATCTCATATCCTAATATACCTATTGTTGAAATTAAAGGATTTTCTACTAGAAAAAGAAACGTGTATTTTTGGCTTTTTTGATCGATAGTAATATGTATAGGTATTTAAATCTTGTAATCTCGGAAGCTAATATTACCTACTGGGTAGGTAATTATTAAAATAATAAATATAGTATTAGTAACTAAATAGATATTTTTTTTAAATTTTTAAAATTAAAATTTTCGTATTTTTAAAAATTACTAAAAAAAAGGTTTGAAATAATAGATTTTCTCACAAAAGAAGGGAACATGAAAAAAAAAGGGAAAAAAAGCGGGACCAAAGCCAAGACGCGAACCACGGAACCTCCGACATCACGCCCGACCGACATACCACCTGAGCTATAACGACCGTTAGTGATTCGTCGAAATTTACCACGGTAATATTATCTATACAGTATTGTAACTCGGCCGTATTTTTGAAATAAATACCTACAGCAGCGCGGTACGTAAACATGCAATAGGGCTGCCTGCCTTCAGCATTACATTTGCCTACTTTGTGTTTCCATTTACTTTTATGATTGTAAATATATTTTTTTTATATAATCAAATACAATAGGTACTTTGAAAATTCAATAGGAAGTGTTCAATAAAAATGCGTATCGTTTTTTGATTGGTAGATTTAATTAAAAAACCATGTTTATGTTTGAATAATAAATCGGTCTAATGAATTTGCGACCGAAAAATATTTGCGCCTTGGCTGAGACGTACGAATTACTTTATTATTAAATTTTTAAGTATAAAAAATCCGCATTATAATATAAAGCTTAATTAAAAATTATTTTGGGAAACATGGACAAGGTGGAGAAAAGTAATATCTTTTACTTGGATAAAGAGGTATCTATAACCAAGTAAAAGATATTTTATAATTTATATGTTTGGTTTTAAATGAAGTTCGCATTTATTATTTCTTTATTTCTATTCTATTATTTATTTCCTCCATTTTTTATATATATTCCACAAAATCATCACTGCGACACAGTCACGACTGTCTGCATGTCGAGCGCATGCCGAGATCGAGGCGCGTAAGTATAGCTCTCGCTTCGTCCGTTTGTATGAAGTTGGAATACTGTATAGATAAAATTACCATGCATTTACCTTCTTATATTGTAGCAGTTTTTTTATTGCCTGAAAACATTGACAAAAGGACATTTTCTAAAAATAAATCCAAGCGTTCGTCGCTAAAATCGTTGGATCCGTATAATTTTCTCATAAATCTGTTTAAAATGAAAAGATAAATATACATAAATATCAATAAAATAAAATAAATACAAAATAATATTATATTATTACTGTTATTATTATTATTATTAAGTTGTATATATATATATATATATATATATATATATATATATATATATATATATATATATATATATACCTGCGACTGCACATTCATTTAATGATAAATAATTTTCACTACAATCATCGTTTACTATTACAAATTTTTGGTTACATAATTGGCATTTAAGCGTAAATTTTGACTCTAAGCCTTTTGTATTTCTCCGATAAGTTGTGGTTCGGTGAAGCTGCAACCTAATGGACCATGATCTGAAATTTTTATGAAAAGAAGTGCCTGACGTCAATTATTATTATTCTTATTTTTTTTTTCATTACTGCCTTTTTCAACCTCATAACATATTTGTAACTGCAAAAAAAGAAAACTACGTATAAGTAAGTAATATAGTGTTATGTATGATTCAGACTAAATAAAGGTTCCTAAAAATAGTCGTAGATAAAGAAATTGCATAAAAAAATTACTCAAATAAAAATGCAATAAACTTGTTAATTTTATAGGTACTTAGTAAAATATTAAAATAATAAGTTTTTTAGGATATTTATGTAAAACATAAAGGTTATATTATGTTCTAACTACGTTCACGCTTGCGCATATAAAACCGCGGAATTTCACTAGTTTTATTATCAAAATAATAATTGACAACCCTACCCTAAGTTTGCCTTGATTTTATCAACTTATTTATTTGTGTATTATTTGTATTTATTTTATTTTATTGATATTTATGTATATTTATCTTTTCATTTTAATTTATAGTTATATATTTATAAAAACCAACCAGATGAGAAAACTATACAGATACCCCAACAATAATAATATAATAATAATAATATTCCACAACTATCACACAACGCCATCTAGTCCCAAGCTAAGCAGAGCTTGTGTTATGGGTGCTAGACAACTGATAAACATACTTATATATTTCTAAATACATAAATATTACAGATAAATTACACCCAGACACAGAACAAATGATCGTGCTCATCATACAAACATTTTTCCTGGGTGGGAATCGAACCCACGACCTGCGGCATAGCAGTCAGGGTCACTAACCACTAGACCAACAGGCCTGACGATAAATAAAATAAAGTCTCTAGCTCGAGAGGAGAGGAGCCGTGGTAGCTCAGATGGTTAGCGCTTGCTAAAATTTTCACAGTGTGCGAGCAAACCGGGTTCGATCCCCGCCGGCACCAATAATATTGTAATTGCAATTTTAAGTGTTGATTTACCACGTGCTCAGTGGTGAAAGAAAACATTGTGAGGAAACCTCCATGTCTGAGAAATAAGAAAAAAAATATTTCGAAGACATGCAAAGTTCGCCAACACGCAGTGGGGCAGCGCGGTGGATAATTCCTTTCCTAGGACCCTTTTAGAAAATAGAATAGAAATAAAAAATAATAAATCCAAACTTCATTTAAAACCAAACATACAAAATGTAAAGTAGCTGCAGGTATCTATAACCAAGTAAAAGATATTCCTTTACTCCAACTTGTCCATGTTTCCCAAAACAATTTTTAATTAAGCTTTATATTATAATGCGGATCTTTTATATTTAAAATTTTAATAATAAAGCATTTCGTACGTCTCAGCCGAGGCGCAAATATTTTTCGGCCGCAAATTTATAAGACCGATTTGTTATTCAAACATAAACATGGTTTTTTAATTAAATCTACCAATCATAAAACGACACGCATTTTTATTGAACACTTCCTATTCAATTCACAAAGTACCTATTATATATTTGTTTATATAAAAAAGTATATTTAAGTACAATCATAAAACTAAATGGAAACACAAAGTAGGAAAATGCATTGAGTTATAAAACACATAAATCAATGGGCAAATGTAAAAATGTTGGAGGCAGGCAACCCTATCGCATGTTTACGTACCGCACGGCTGTAAGATTTATTTCTAAGATACGGCCGAGTTACAATATACCGTGACGTAAGCGCATCGGTTGGTAGGTACCCAAATAATATTATGTTTGCGGCGAAATACGGACGCGGCGACCAGCGACGCGGCCACCTCCTACGAACGCATACAGCGTAATGCCGCCCGCACTCTGCGCACGCCCCTTTATCATAGAAGTCACACAATTTTCGGAATTATTTCAATTAAAAGAGAAAAAAACGAACTTAAAAATTTAAATAAAACGTGGAGAATATAGATTTTTTAATTATCTATCCATTAGTGTTATCCTCAAATGATTAGAGCGTTGCGTTTAGCAACAGATGCATGTAATCAAGAATTTTAGTCATTTTTTAAAAGTTGATTTTAAATGTATTTATAGCACATAAAAATAAATTAGAACGTGGAATGCGATGATAAGATATCGAACATTAATAATGTACTTTTAGATTTAGTTTATATTTCATAACTAATGAGATAATAGACTCTGAAAAACGCACTTTCGCAACATCTTGGTCAGGGATTCACCTTAAGCGTAATGCCGCACCATGATCCTGTCGCAGGT